TTTCGAACGATTGCTTTCTTTGCCGCTGTTCGCCTGTCTTTGATCTCGACAGAGGAGGAATCATGCGCCGACACGCAGCACACGTCCCTTCTTTGCCTTCGGCCGGTTCGACCGGATTTTCCAGGGAGCCGTCTCTGGTGTGCCGAGAATCAGCCGACGTCGGCCATCGTCCAACCTCTTGTTTCGAGCCTTAAACAGCCGTACAGCAGGTTGTTTGATTACAAAATTATACCATTGGCCGATACTTCGCGACATATAACGATTCCTTCCTCTTTCTTATTTGTACACCGCTCCGTGCTTTTTATCGATTCACACCATCCGATGATGGGTATGGAGGAACAAGTGACGAATGACTGTGATCGAGGTGCTTGATATTAGCGCGATTCGCGGGATGACATGGGAAGATGGAGAGGTTAGGTGAGAAATTGGATAGTTGAAATTAGGTTAGAAAATTTGTATTGAATGAAATAATATTTCTATTAACAATTTCTTGATAAATTTTAATATTGATTTAAAAAATTTTTAAAATTTTAATAAGAGATTTTGAAACTAGGTTAGGTTTGTAACTTTTTTACAAAATGTACATTTAGCTTCTGTTATATTTGTGTCTACTATCTAATTTTTTTTTAAGAACTTTTTTCCGTAATAATATTGTTCTAACGTTGAATAAATTTTTCAATCGAAATAATTTTTTATTAATTTTTAAATTTTCAATTTACGATCATTAAAAATATTTCTAGAATGATTATGTTATTCAATTTAAATTCTTTCAATCAAAGAATGTATCGATTAAAAAAAATTATATTTTTCCAACAATATTTTTAAAAAGTACGATTTATATTTCGCTTTTGTTCCCATAAATTGCTCAAAATTTCAAAGATTATTATAATCCAATAAATTACACGATGCATAAATTTTTTCTTTATTTTTTTCTTAAATAATTTCCTTTTTCGCCTCGAAAACTGTATTTTTCCTCAAATTCAATGATTCGTAATACATCCTGGCGATAACACATAAGCTTATAGAGGACGTTCAAACAGCGATAAGCATAAATATCCATCAGTGGAACGTGCCCAATTATAATTATCCATAATGAATATAATATTTCAAAGTGATTACGCCGAACGTTATCTGAAAATTGTTTCGTGCATCGCGAAATCAATCACGGTTATGAATGCGCTTTCTTTCTGTTTCCGCATGCAAAATTGATTTCCATGGCATGCGCCGCGCCGCCATTAAATCGGTCCGATTCGACACGATTGTTATAATATACCGTATTAAGTCTATTCGCGATTCTAGCTCCGATATTCCCGACTATAATTCCGACCCGCCGCAGGTGGTAGTTGTGGATCGTTAATTGTTAATTTATCGACAGAATGATCCATGCCTGACCATTTTGCTTTCGATAATTTTGAGTCAAGATAATTATAACCAATTAAAGATGACAGAAAACCAACGAATTTATTTATTCTGAATATCGATAAATATAATATTACTTATTAAATGATTTTTTTCATTATTTGTTTGCCATTTAGAAATTAAATTAATGTTAAAAAATTATCGAAAATTCATAAAAGATATCAAAAATAAGTCATTTACAATTATTATATATATTTAAAAAAGATAGGATATATAAAAAAATTAAATATTTGTTATTATCACTATAGTGAAAGAGAAAAGGAATTAAAAAAAAATATTATTATTCTTAAATTATATTCTTTTATTGTAACATATACTGTCTAAAATTTTTTTTAAGGAGAATCTTCATTTAAATCGTATATTATTTTATTATATTATATCCAATTTTTTCATTATATACTTCGATAATGTATCATAATCTATTTTTTACAATCACTCGTGCAATTTTCCCTTTAACACAGATATCAAATAGATAATCCAACTTCTGGTACGCAGCAGGTCTATAAAATATCTTTCAGCGTGTCGTTCGTTGCGCACACGCTGTGAGAAAGTGCGATTGAACCGCAGCAGGGAAACTGGAATACCGGTATACTACAATTGCCACGCTTGTTTTTCGTACTCTGCGCTCACGCCTTTTAATAACGCGAACGATAGGCGTATACGATAAGAAGACATTATGGGGCACTACCGTTGCATGCACCGCAAGAAAAACGTGGGACAATGCCACTGTTACTGATTGTACACGTACTCAAGCCGATTTTCCGCGGAAAACGGAGAACAAAGAGAATAAACTTTAACTATTGTATATTGTTGGTACATTACACGTAAATACTATGAATATATGAATTATTTATTATATGGTATACATTGTATAATGTAATTTATTTTTTTATTATACTTGAATTTCTTCTCGTGAATTAGATATTTTAATCGAATATAAATTTAATTTTATTTTTTTTTTTAAATTTAAGAATTTTCTTTTGTAATATCTATTTTTAAAAAAAAATTTTTTTATTTCAAAAATTTTACATAATATGAAAACGTTTTCCGATAATCTATTTAAAATTTTTTCTTTCATTGGAATATTTTAAATTTTACATTATTTAAATTTGATTCTGTGAAATTATTACAGATAATTAAATTATTACAGATTAAATATATTAATATCAATGTATATTAATTAAATTTTCAATAAAACCATTTATTTTAAGTATATTCACTTTATTATGGTAAGATATTTATAAGATATTTATAATTAATAAAGAACAGTGTTATAGTTAATTAATAGAACAATTTAAAGCAATTGAATTACATCTGAAGATATTCATAATAAAATTGTTGGTTATGTATAGAATTCAAAACGGTGCTTGTATTATATTATTATTGATTAATTATAATAGCGTAATATGGAGCAGATTCATATCATATAAAGATATCAATAAGCTTAATTACACCTCTTTAAATTAATTTAATAATTTTCACATAGTAATAAGAAATATTAAGTTTTTAATTATGATATAGCTTATTATTTTTAAATATAATGTTAAAATTTTGCATGTGCATTATTGTTTATGTTCTTCAATCTTTCATTTCTTATCAAATGATTTAATAATTTTTTATCATATAATTTAAAGATTTTCAATTCCATTCACGCATACAATAACTTTAATATGTCTCATAAATAATTGAAATAAATTCAATTGATATTCGAAATTAATTTATTTTCTAACCTATTTTTTAACCTGCTAATCTAATAATCTAACCTGCTATCGTATATTATTCCGTATCTCGTATATTGCCTTATTATTATTTATGAATAAATTTATAATTCGTTCATAATTTCAATATAAAAAAATTAATCATATTTAGAATTGAATAGGATTTCCAGAAATTCAATTTCTTTGATGACATATTTCGGATAAAGAGCTGATCTTCTTTATGGATATGATATTCAATATTTCAGATTTAAATCGAAGCAAAAATTTTTCGATAACCTGTGATACTCGGATGATTTCGGGTCTTCAGATCGGTTTGAGTCGGATTAAATCGGATCAGCTCGGCTTAGTTCGGGTTGAATCGGGTCTGGTCAAATCAGATACAGTCGATAATAATCTAGTCAGAATTCCGAAAGGTAACAAATTATGATTTTTATATTTTTTAAATCGAGTTTTTAATTTTCAACTTTCAAAACGTATTTTTTTCATATTTTTGTTATTACATTTTGAATCTATTATAATTATCTATTATATTAATTTTTAAATAGTATAAAAATTATAAAATCAACAAAAATAACCTTTAATCAAACTAACCTTTTATCAAACTTAAAACTTTATCAAATTCTTAGTCTTCAATTTTAATTCTTAATTGTCAATTGATTTAGATTTTATTCACTGTGCAATTTCTATTCCAAATTACAGAATACTATCAGCGTATAATATGTTTTAAAAACGTAGCACAAACAGGCTTGATTCTATCATTGAAAGTTCGAAAAAAAGAAACGATACTAGGCAAGAATCTAATTACGCGCGTATTACACAAACTTACCAGCCGGAAAAATAATCGCTCGTATACATTGAAACCGGACGTGGTACTTCTATCGAAAATACGTATATTAACCAGTGTAGTACCTAGCGGAGAGGCAAGCCGAGGTGTATCGAGGTCGACCGGTTCTCCAACAGCCGTCAGCCGTTAAGGGACATTGCGACACACGCGCGAGCCACGGTTCTCTGTCGTTATCCTTCTTTCTCTTACTTTTTTCCACTTTTCTTCTCTCTCCTCTGTCGTCTTTTGCGCCGCTCGAGCTGGGGAACTCCGGGAATTGCAAATAAATTGTTATTAGCTCGACGCTGCCGCTTGCTTGCCCTTTTGCCTCTTCCATGAGTTCGACGATTTGAACATTCAACTTTTTAGTAGATATATATAGATGTTTTTTTCAGATTTGTAATAATTGATATAATAAAAGAACCTGGATACTATTGGAAAACTTTTGTGAATATAATATATTTTACAGTTGAATATTATAAGATTTGCTCAATTTTTTTAATTTTAATTTTAACATTCAATATCTTTTATGATCATCATTACCGTTTTTTTTAATTAGCATTCTATTCAATTGTTCAAGATATTGATATATAATTGATATTAAAAAATTAACATATCAATGCATAAATATTCTAAGTAGCTATCATTAAATAATCATCGATACATATCATTGAATAAATAAAAATTTGAAATTAAAATATATTAAAATCGTCTTCTCTAATTATATTTTATAAAAAGAATCATCTAATTGAAAAAATTATGTTATTTAAAATCTTATTATCATATAAATATCATGAAACTAACGTGCGAATATATAAATATCCTAATTAAAATTTTTCGTTAAACATCTATACAATATCTGAATAGAGATATTATCCAATATGAAATATTAGATATGACAATATAGTTATTATACTATATGATAGATTAAATATGACTTACTATGATACACGACATATTATCCAATATATGTATCTCGATACATAAATAGTCCAACAATCAACATTATTAAAAAATTCTGATCAACATTTTATAACGCCAAACTATGCCATTTTCCAGTTAACATGACTTCCCTTCGACTATTTTAATGCTTGGCATCAGAAAGACTACGTAAGAAACTCAGCCACCGCTAGTCGAGAATATATTGTCGATTTTTCACAAACTAACCGCTATGTTTAGCCGTCCAGACTGGTCATTTTTACTCTCAATTTCTTTCCATCTTTTTTTTTCCTTCTACCTCCTCTTCCATCTTTCTCACTCTTTCTTGATTTACTTTTTCTAGAGGTATGTCACGGAGAAGCAGGCGAACGATATATATCGGTAACACGTTCGAAGAATCGTAATTGGGCATGATCCTGTTCGATGAAGTTATCATAAGAAATAGGGCAATTAGCCTGTTCAATAATTACTTGCCCTGATCATTGAAAAACAACAAACAGGAAAGAGAAAATTGGTGTACATGTATATGCATACTTTAATTTATCTAGATACGTGTTTATTTTTAACAAAATATATTTAATTTAGAAATTAAGATCTGCAATCAGTTTATTCCAATAAAATATCGTTTATATTATAAAATTAATTTAGAAAATATAACAATGAAGAAAATTCTTTAACTTTTTTCTAGCAATTGTATTTCTCTATATCATTCAATTTATTTACTTATTATAATATCATTATAATATATAAATTATCTACTAATAAATTTAAGAGATATTTTCACTTCATGAAATTGATTCTCAATGATTTTAATATTTATTAAATTGAAAAAAAACTTCATTTTTAAAATTTTTAAAAATTCAAAAAGAAAAGCTCTCGAAGTTTTAAGATTTTAGAATTTATACTAACTAAATATTTATTTCTAAATCTTTATTTTTCATATCTAAATATCATTCATATATAAATTTATTCTTTACATCGGATTCATTAATTTAACATATCAATTTTATTTTCAATCCAATTCTATGATTCTTGAACACACATGTTCGAAATTTCAAAAAAAAAAAAAATCTAAATATCTCTAATTCAATTCTACTTCTATCCACAACTTTACAACAACAAAATTTGCACATAAAGGATTTTCAAAAAATTTCTGAATATTATCTTCATTTTATCATAATTTAATTTCAATGTCTATAATTCTGGTACATCCTGTATGCGTGCACAAAGAACGAAAACCGCAATCGGCGTGGCAATGGTGCCAATGATAAAATCCCTCTCTGACGCAAACTGCATCGCACCGCAGTTGTTCGAGTGCATTGGCTAGGCTAAACACCGACGGTATCTCCGTTCGTGAAAGTAACAGGGTTCCCTCTCGATTCGTTTATATTTTTCAATATAACCGTGCGCGCTTTCCCGTGCACAACTCGGGTTTATGATTTTGCTTAATTAATGGTCGGCCTCCCCCGTGGCCACCGTCCATCCCTTCGAACCATCATCCCCACTTCTCCCACGCGTTCTCCCTCTCCGCCCGTCTACACAACTCGCACGTATCCCCACCCATGCGTCCGACCAGCAACGGCCCGGTGGCCATTAGCCTGCAC